GGAATGTTCAATACCTACCTGTGGAAGCAGCACAAGAAACGCCGAAGTGAAATAATTCCACGTAAGGGTACATTGCCCTCAGAGTGTTGCTACTGCACACACGCACCTGTTCCCCTCACTCAACGCACGCCGCGATTCAAACTTTCAGCACATCTCAGCAGTTTCCGCTTTTATGGGTATATGCACTGGTGATTGTTGGTGTCACATCTCCAATTAATTATCGACTTTACCTTGGCTGCGTCTTCACCTGGAAGCCGTCTGTTGCCAAACAGAGTCACGCTACATCTTTCCGTGACTTGATTCCATGTGCGGATTGAAGCCCGGGATGTTCATAGGCGAAACATCCGATTAGCGTGGTTCGCTTGCCGCAGATTCAATAATTCCCGTGTTTACGCCGTGGATCTTACTCCAGACGAGGTAATAGGGGCTCATTCCTCTGATGCAAGAAGCTTCTTGCTGTTCAGAGCCCCGGGCAGACTGGGGAGGAGGCTACAGAAAGGTCACTTTGTCATGCCGAGGTAGTTTACAAATCTCTCTCTTGTCTTATGAGAAATCCTTGATAAAAATAGTTACCCTTTGCTACTTCTCAATGGATGACCTAGTCGTGGACACCTGAAAGTTTCGCATTAAATGAGCTGATAACAAAGACTTAATTCCACGGCATATTTACGTAGCCCTGCTCATTGCAAAGTGACTGCCCTGTGGTATGATATGCTCATTTTACCAGTAAAATTGAACATTTTAACAATCAAATATCAAAATATGTAACGAGGAGCTGCATCTTTTCACTTTTTTGAATGCAATGGAACGTCACAAATTGGAGCACATCAGAAATGCAAGGCCACACCCACTGCTTCGCCAAACCATCTTCAGGATCTTTCGTCATGATTTAAGGAACAGTACGATGTTATATGATCAGTTCGACACGCGACATAAAAGGATGGAAAAGCGGATCACGCTGTTTGTTTGGCGCTACGGATTAGACGCTTCTTGAGTTTGAAGAGGAAGTGTAGCACACGTTTTTCTCAGGGCTTGGAAATGCCTTCTTAGATGCAATTAGTGCAAGAGGTCACACTCCAGCATGCTTGGGGTCAATAGTGATTACCTCTTAACATAGCTACAGAGGTCAGCAGAGAGTAGACTCATTCAGTTGCGTAAGTCTGCCCACACCTGGCTTTCGTGTTGATGCCAGAAGTGAGTCACAAACACTTGTAGCCCTTGATAGGCAGCGTGCTGTCGACTGGTACTCGGATTGGATTGAAACCTGATGGTTACATATTTACACTAAGAGCTCCGGCAGTTTACTGCGTCTGCTAGGCCTAGACTCTCCCGCTATTTAAAAAGGAATGAGCCAGTGAGATGACTGCACCATGACTTAAATTGCCTAGGCCCAAGTCAAATACGGGATTTGATGTTTCGCATGTTGGACGAGTTTAGAGATTTGTAGGTGATTTGAGAGCGTTATTGTCGCCATATGTTTCTGGAGTAATTTGTTTTGATAGCCTAAGTTGATAACAAAGAGTGTTAACATTTCAGGAATGCGAAAGGAGAGAGGATGAGACTACGTACACAATTGTATCCATTCCACGACACATTCTGCCATGTATAGGAGTCTGTAACTCCATAGTTTGTCCTGATAACCTTATTGCTGTCAATCACTTTATGTGGTTGAAGACCAAGATATAGCTGGCTTTTACATTCTCTAATATCAATACAAGAGAGATGCTTTCAAGACATTTTCTTGCTGTAATCCCCTGACAATCACCTTACAGAAATTGGCCTTCGTTCCCACCGACCGTGTAGAGCAAAGAAAACTCTGGTGCATAAATTTGACCCTTTCAGTGCATGCTGGATGAATCGGTCTGCTTTTAAGCTGTATTTATTAGCAACGGTTGATGCGGACCAGCATTAATTTGTGTGATATCGGGGCGAACCCATGGATCAGCTGATTAGATGGCCGTGGCTGACTTTGATGAGCAGGGAAGTGGGAGGAGTCTCACTGGATGAGAAAAGGGATGTGGGGAAGTGATGAGATGGATGTGGTGCAATAAGAGGGAGATCCTCTTTACAAATTGCTTTGATGTGACAACAAACAAAAACGTACGTTTTGTGTCTTTGTATTGCTGAAGAATTTAATAGTAATCCTAATTGCAGAAAATGATTGCAAGATTTTATTCAAACTGGAAATATTCAGATATAGGTGAATGAGTGTAACACATTGAGATATCAGGTGAAATGTAATGTAAAATTTCTGTTTTTGAAAAGTCTGTGCTTGTGGCAGATTGGAAACTGGTGCCTTTTCGCTCTTTTTACAACATTCATTCATGAGTCAGGATACTGGCTAAGTTTGCAAAGTTTTGTTGCAAGCTATCTTGTAATGTAAGTAATCTTGACGATTTTTTTAAATAAAAAAATTTGTGGATGGCACAACCCAGCATTTTAGTCAACTGATCATAATGATAACAGACATGAAGTATGAGAGATTTGGGAGTGGGAGGGGTGCACTCAAGAGACACGGTGTGACCCCCCCCCCCCCCCCCCCCCAAGCTGCATGGTCAACAGGAAACAAGAACAGCTATGGTCACAAAATAGATTTATATCAACCAAATTAAAGTATTTTTGATTTAAGTCTAAGATTTAAAATTTGTGGTCAGATCCAAGGTAGGAAAACAAGTTTGGTACAAGTATGTTACCCAGTATGGCTGTAAGTTTACTGGGGGACGATTCATTTACTGGGGATAATTCATTTAAAGAGCCTCAAATGGTTGTCAGGAAGGTACGCTAACTCACGCACCCCCAGGGTTGCAGGTTCGAATCTCACTTCCACTCTTTTGATAGTGGAGTTTGCATATTTTCCTTATGTGGATTTTGCAGCTTGCAGGCCAGGGACAGTTAGGCTAACTGGTGTCTCGAAAATTCCCAGTAGTGTATGCGTACTGTGCCCTGTGATGAACTGGCATCCCAATTCTGCTCCCTGGGGGAGGCTGCGGTTGCTCCCCCCAGGCATTGCTCAGGATAAGAGGTTGGAAGATGAATGGATGGAATGACTGTTCTATATGCATCCTAAAGTAAAGGTTAGTGATTCATAAAGGAAAACGAGCCAACGCATTGTCAGAATTTGTAACGTTTACTTTTTCACCATTCACGCGGGCGACCTGGGGGTGACCCGTATTTACGCACACGCACTTGTTAGCATGCTTTATCAGCGCATGCGTCAGCTTCGATTTATTTATTTTCCCATGGAAATTTTCAGCATGATTTGTACACAGACAGCTTGTTAAACACCCAGGAGATTCGGAGGGACATCCTGTAATTTGCCCCAGTTTTTGGGAATCATTATGAATGAAGTCTACCGCAGACAATTACTTGCAGTTCTGATGGGAGAATGACCTAAAGTAACTCTTTTCGTAAAAAAAGTGAAGTAAATTTCACAAGTGGGGTTGTGCACTTGAACCCTTCAGTGTACAATATGGTGAACAATGTATTCAAATGTATTCATGTACAGTAGTAGGTCTGGCTGCGTGTAAATACTGGATCTACATTCATACGTACTTTTCTGAAACGTTATTATATGGCTATTTTTCAGTTAGTTCCTTTGTGTTGAGTCCAATAATTGAGTCACTAATCTCATTTTTAAAGTGATAGCAAGGCCAAATATGTCATAGGTCCAAAGTTGATGGAAATTATATCAGAATGACAAGCGAAGTTAGACAAGTCAAATGGAGCGAGTTCCATTTAGAAATAGCAAAATGAAAATCAGTTATTTTATATTACCCCTGATTTACTTGCGTAATGGAACACAGCGTTAGGGGACATCGATCAAGGTGACACAGCGTTAGGGGACATAGATCAAGGGGACACAGAGCAAGGGGACATAGAGTAAGGAGTCACAGTGTAAAGGGACACAGTGTAAAGGGACACAGAGTAAAGGGACACAGTGTAAAGGGACATAGAGTAAGGGGACACAGAGTAAGGGGAAACAGTGTAAAAGGACACAGCGTAAAGGGACATAGAGTAAGGGGACACAGTGTAAAGGGACATAGAGTAAGGGGACACAGTGTAAAGGGACATAGAGTAAGGGGACACAGTGTAAAGGGACACCTTAAACGGTATTCCAGCACATTGTGAGGCACAGTATATATAAAAGTCAAGTGAATGAGTTATGACACATCCATCGTTTCTCTGTAACCACTTGTCCTAGTCAGGGTTGGGGGGAGTTTGGAGCCTATGGGTACAAGGCAGGGAATTAATTACTCAGGATGGGGCACCAAACCATTGCAGGGCGCAAGCACCCACACACACGCGTTTGTACTCATATCTTTATGGGGACCGTCCATTAATTACTATGGGAAAACCCACAACAACATGAGGAGAACATGCAAACTTCACACACATGGAACTCTGGCAGAGACTCGAACCCGGGTCCCAGAGGCATTCTGAAGATCTACAAACAGAGCACCGTAGTGGTTTGAGGTCGCCTCCGGGAACTATGGACAAACTAGCAACATTTTGACATTAGTCACAAATTGCCCATAGGAAACAAAACTGCCTTTTAAGGTAATGAAGACGAGCGGCCCGCTAATACACAAAAACATTTTTAGACTGAGCAAGTTGGATCATGAAGCTCGTCACGCACAGAAGGTCGGATCCTTGAAGCAGCGCTGCGTTGGCTTCTGATGCTCAGCTCCCGCTATCTCACTTTAAGTCATTTTTTGCCCCCCCTATTCAGTGTATGGGCATTAAAGAGGTTGCGGTATCCTGTAATTACAAGGGGTAGCTTCCAACCTACGAACGGAGGTGTATAAATGGCTTTTGGCTAACACTGGGCTTTCATGTCAGACCAGGCCCGGCTTTTCTGCATGAAATCGGATTGCGGTTTTAATCCATCCACAGAGGCCCAGACAGTCCCCTGAAGAAACAGACGTGCAGATTAATCGCAGCACCTGACACACATCTGTCTGATAAACTGACTGCCCCCCCCCCCCCGCCCACCCCTCCAGGTCTCTCGCTGTAGGCCACCAATACTCCTCCCTGGGTACCCAGCCCATCCTGTGCGGCTCCATCCCCGGCCTGGTGCCCAAGCAGCTGCGCTTCTGCCGCAACTACGTGGAGATCATGCCCAGCGTGGCCGAGGGCGTCAAGATCGGCATCCAGGAGTGCCAGCATCAGTTCCGTGGGCGGCGCTGGAACTGCACCACCATCAACGACAACCTGGCCATCTTTGGGCCCGTGTTGGACAAAGGTTAGAACCTTGGGCCCGTTCTGAGTGCCTGAACACACAAGACACTTTTCCCACGTTGTTGACAGAACAACAAAAGTAACTAGTGCTGTAAGCTTTTTGTCTAAAGTGATATATTTGGGGGTATAAAGTTTACTCAGAAGAGCTTTTCCATAGCATAGTATTGCTAACTTCCAGGTTTCCGTATGACCTGCGTTGGTCCAGATTTATGTGACGCTGAGGCACAACTGACATGCAGCAATGAAGACTGAATGCAGTGGCTTTGCTGACAGCTTTGTTTACTCTGAATGCAGTGGCTTTGCTGACAGCTTTGTTTACTCTGAATGCAGTGGCTTTGCTGACAGCTTTGTTTACTCTTAATGCAGTGGCTTTGCTGACAGCTTTGTTTACTCTTTGCATTACACAACACAGGTGTTTCTCTGGGTTTGTCTTAATCTGCTACTTAAACTTGACCCCAGATCTTCAGGGGGTTCAGTCATTTCCTAGCTGTCACTTCTAGCTATGTGTGGCCTTCAGTGAGGCAGCGGTTAACTCCCTAGCCACCCCGAGAGCTCATATGTTATGGAGGGTTGTAAGTTGCGAGACTAGTCTTCCTGAAAGTCACTTGCGTTGAGTGTATGTTTTACTCAGAGAGTCATAGAGTCTTACTTTTAGTCTATAAATTGGAGGGACCTGTTTGATTTGTGGACAGGAGGGAAGGGAAAGCAGTGATGGCTTACAATGCACCACAAATCGCATTCTCAGAAGGACGCTTTCTGTAATTACAAAACGCAGGCATTTCATTTTCTCCTTGGGTCTGAGAAACACAGTGTCACCAAGCTACCAGGCGATGAATTCATGGGCGAAGTGTCATCTNGTGATAGAATTAGACGGAAGAGTATCCAGTTGTTCAATATAGTAACAAAGACAATTCATCTGCATGTCCCGGTAGTATAGATCAGATCAGATCAAATCAAATCGCCAATTTGATGCCTATAGCATCGCAGCATATCGCATTCACTGCATGTCCATAACATACAAGGGAATCGAAATGCTGTCTCTCTCTCATCTTCGCAGTACAAATATAAAATATAATAGTATAAAAAGTATAAACATATAAGATATAAGATAAATATGAATAGTACTAAAAATAGCAACCTCTGTGCAATGTGTAATAGTCAGTAGTGTAAAAACAGTAAAGGAGCAGGAACAGTGTAATAGTAGTGTAAAAACAGTAAAGGAACAGGAACAGTGGTGTAAATTGAGGAGGTGCATTTTTAGAGCAGCTTAAGAGGCGTGCAGAAAGACTATTGGCAGCAGGTGTAGCATTGAGTCTTGAGATAGTGGATGGAGTTGTCCAGCAGAGGGTACAGTACACATTAACCATACACTAAACATCTCGCAAACCTCAAATTTGTCGTTAAAATCAGTGCTGAGATACTCCAGACTGGATACCACATCTACCTTTGAAGAGGGGGGCAAAATCACGGAGATGAAAACAAGGGCAGATTCCTCAGCCTGATTTTTTTCCATCTGCATGGCCGTGCCCGGGGGCTACATAACAGCGAGGAAGATGACGGCCAGGAGTCGATGATTGATTGGGGGGGGGGGGGGGGCGTCCCCTTCTTGTGCAGCTGGTATGCTGCTGGACCACCACTGCTTCAGGGATGCAGCCTCCTGTTTGGCTCCAAAGGGACCCTGAGGTCATAAGTAGGGGATTAACCAATGACGGAACATCAGGAAGATCAGCGTCAGGATCAATTTTACAACAATGGCCTAAAAAAACAGCACAACAAACAGAAAAGACAAGCATCACCCACGTGCCTGTTTGCCACTCGCCAAAATTCTGGAACGCATCCTCGGGCGATGCATTTTAACGATGCGCGCGACCGACAGTGTGACAGGGACCGAGAGTCTGAATGTCTGGTGGTGAAAAGGACAGGCTGCTGCATTTCGGAGTTTCATCATTTGTGTCGAGACGATCAAGCCGTTCTGGAACGCTCCAGGCGATTTTCAGGAAAGGAAGCCTCAAATAAACAGTAATACGTAAAATCAGTAAAATATTTTAACATTACGACGCTAAATATATCGAAATAAAACCACATTTTCAAGCATTCTATATAATTTGTCCAATTTAGCCTCAAATTTATTCTTCTCACCTGCCGCTGCTGCTTTTGTGTCTTGCCCCCGGCGCCTTTCGTGCCATATTTTTGTTTTGCACAAAAACCACCAGCCTGACTGTTTAAACGGGTCCCTTTTTACGCCACTCTCTTCAGCTGCCAGCCAACTTAGTTCCCCTTTGAGTATCAGCGATGCGAGTCCTCCTCCAGTAGTATATTTTGTCTTTTTGTCTTAGATGGCAAGCGCCGTTTGATTATTCTTGCAGATCGTTTGGAAAAGGGATGTTAAATCCTAGTTTAAATACATCAGTCAGGATTTGCCACCCAGCTATGATGAATTTCCATAGATGAGAGTGATGCATTTGTACACATAGGGTCAGAGACAGCATTCTGTTCAGAAGGGAATTCCCTGGAATACCCCCCCCCCCCCCCCCCCCCCCCCCCCCGCCCCTCCGGACCCCCACCCCTGGTAAATTCCTAAGGGGTTATTTCAGGAACCGTAGCAATAAAGGTATATTGGGTCATATTAAGGTCCCTTGGGAAGATGTTTGGATAGAAGACCAGTGTTAGCGCATATGCTAATCTGTATTTTAGTGTAGGGGTGTCAGCACTAGGGGAACTGCAAACACAGACACAGTAGCCTGTGTGCTATAGAAAGTCACACAGTAAATAGGTGTACAGTTATTTTTTTGGCCTTTCTGAAACCAATATAACCAGTATCAAAGCACAAAAAAGGTTGTTTCTGCATCTACATTTATCTTACTACTACTTTACTAGTGTTTTACACCCTGGTTTGGTGTCAGATATACATCAGCACTAAATGTGGACTGTTAAATGTATCACCAAATCTCTTAATTCAATTGAATGAAGAATTCATCACAGTGCGTTAGATTCACTGCTAAAATGGCACTAAGTTAACATTTTTATGGCTAGGATTTATCATCGTTGCTACAAAAATGAAAATTTCAACGCAGAACTAAATAATCCATCTACCTGTTCATTTCCCAAATTCTTATCCTGGTCAAATTCTCTTTACACCTTCTCTTTTACAGCTTGTGAGCAAGCTGGCGATGAAGGGCAGCCGCCCATAGCAGCAGCCAGGTTTTAAGGGCCTCGCTCCCAGACCCGCAGACTGGGCTCAAACCAGTGACCTTCTGATCACAGGCATCAAGGCTTAGCCCACTGAGACACACGTTGCCCCCTAAATTAGCAGCAGGTATTATACACAATGTTAAATATTAAGATTTTTTATTTTTTTTTAAATGTGTTATTGCCTTCCTAATTGTAGAAATAGAACTGCAGTTAAAAAGTATTGCGCACATGTAACGGAAACCGTAAATATACTTCATCTTGATTTGTTGCGAGTGTACTTATTGCAGCTGTTTTTTTTGTTTTTTTTTGCCCCGTTGCACTGGCGTAAACGTTAACTGTGGCACGTGACACCCCCGTCGCCAACGCAGGGCTCCAGTGTGGCACCAGGCAGCCGCGGACAGGGTTCTGCGGAGTGGGCGGGACGTGGACTGGGGTATGGGGGGGGTGGAATTCTAAGCCTGTCAACTTGCTCTGAAAAAAGACTAATGTATACTATGGTAGGAGGTAGGGGTTGTTGGGACGGGGTGGCCTGGGGGGTGGGGGGTGGGTCAATTGCTTTTAATAAACTCTCGAGCGATTGTTACACTGATGGAGAAGGGTTGAGCTCAAGTAGACAAGTAATGATATGGGTTCACAGCCTTGTGCTATTGTGTTGTAAATAGCCGCTATCCCCACCCCCCCCAGACTTTGCCGCCCCCTACTCTAAATAGCGGAGACTTGACTGCAAGAGGGAGATCATGGTTTGTGTGTGTGTGTGTGTGTGTGTGGGGGGGGGGTCAGCTTTTTTGGTCTTAGCTTTAGTTAATCATTTTGATTGGATTAAGGTCACCACGGCCCCTAACAATGTGAAAGGTCAGCGCAGGCAGATTAAGCTCTTTGTCACTAGGGGATGAGTCTGACCCTGATCCTTTTGATGGGGTTCAGTATTAGCGGTTTTCATTTCACTTGGTTTGATTGATGCTTGTACTCGTCCGGCGCGTCGCCATTGTCCCCGCGTGTCTGTCGGTCTGCCGTGCCGGTGGGCGCCTGTTTGTTTTACCGTGCCTTTTTTGTGGGACAGCTGAAAAGAGCATCAGGACGTCACTTCTATGGGGTAAAAGGGTGTGGGGGGGGGAGACGACCAAAACAAAAATAAAAAATGTACACTAGGCTTTGGAGGAGGGGGAGATTTAAAAACACGATCCACGTGGGGGAAAATGTCCACGAAGCTCCACCCTCTGAGGGGCTTCTCTCCAATCGGATTATCCAAGACGGTTCAAGTAATGGAGGGGGGGGGGGTGTCAGTGTAGGGCTTCACAGGACAAAAAGCCAGCCAGGATTCCCTTCGTTTGCCAGCAACCTCAGACAGGAAGTCCTAGCAGTCACATGGTCAAGACTACCCAATGACAGAGGACTGAGCTCAGCTGGTGTATAGCAGAGAATTTTATTTACGCTCTCAATTCGTCCAGCCATTCATCCATCTTCTAACTGTTCCTGGTCAGGGTTAGAGGGGAGCTGGAGCCTCTTCCAGTCAACACAGGAGTACTCTACTGGTAATTTAGAGGGGCCAGTTAGCCTGTCTGCATGTCTTTGGGATGTGGGAGGAAGCCCAAACACTTCAGCGATAGAAGGAGAACCTGCACACTCCACACACAGAGAGCAGAGGCGGGATTCGAACCCCTTGAGCTGGCTCTGCTACATCAATGTGCTCACCTTCATTAACACCGTGCTTTAAAATAAAACAGAAAAACATTTCTTGTTTTGACAGTACTGACATGGTATGGTAAAGCGTAATATTGTGACACACCTAATTAAGGTCAAATGAGTGTTGTATTAAGCGGCATCACCGTGAAGATGATGTTGATGGCTGCCAGTTCATGTTGACAGTGATTAATGACGACAAGAACATATATAATGAGGCAGAGATGCGTAGGAGTTCCATTCATTCCTGTTTGGGAATTTCCATACCTCTGGCTGGAACGTATATTTAAACTAAACACAGAAGTCCCCGGTGAATGACAAAGGTAAATTAAGCATTGTTTTTGTTAGTGAACAAATGTAACAAAATGGCTGTTTAGGGGTGAATGAGGCAGTAATTATAGCTGAAAGTGCACAGGAACAGTGAGTGGAAATAATGCGTGAAAGAAACATGAAATTCATACTTAAGGTTGAGTTTCAACACCTCTTTCTCTCCCTTTATCTGTTCAAATCTTTAGGCATGTCATACTTAAAACAGTGGTTTAGGCTTGCTGTAGCTGTTTTGACCGTCTATATGTGAATTATTGGTTACTGGATCTGTGTTTTGCTTAAAGGTCAATCATACTCATTACTGGAATACAAATACAATATGAGCACGTATTCAACATTGCATTAGTTTCTTGCTAAGCAATACATTTATATCAAAAGTGACTTACATACCTTATAATTTTACTTCAGCCCTATGGTCCTATGTAATAGGTTACTTTCTTTCCAGAGGTCATAACAGTTGTGCAACCTTTGTCCAGGTATCCATTTTTGCAGCTTTCATGCCAACCCAGCACCTGTTTTTGGGGCTGTCTGTAATCCACTGCTAGTTGTTGGTCGTGTTGGAGATGGGTGATCATGCTCTGAGAAGGTCTCCACCATCATGCAGTTCCTTGTAGGTCAGGTGAGCACTTTGTAGCCCATTCCAGCTGCTGTCCACGTTCTACACAGATTAACTACTGCTTGATCTCCTGTTCTATGTAGTCTAGCTCCTTTGCTGATGACATTCTGGGTCAGACAGTCTAATTGGTGTTGATGTTTTATTGACAAAATCATGCAGGTCAATCGTGACAACACATTACTCCTAAGATGCATCTTTTATGTTTGACCTACAAACTACAGAACATAAGAACATAAGAAATTTACAAACGAGAGGAGCAAATTCAGCCCATCAAGCTCGTTTGGGGAGAACTTAACTAATAGCTCAGAGTTGTTAAAATCTTATCTAGCTCTGATTTAAAGGAACCCAGGGTTTTAGCTTCCGCTACACTAGCAGGAAGACTATTCCAGACTCTAACTTCACGCTGTGTAAAGAAGTGCTTTCTCAAATTCAGATTGGGACAATGCTTTGGCAGTGTGGGTTTTTTTCCTGCAAAATGCATGTCACCTTCTTCCGTTCCCTGTGCACATGCGTGTTCCTATGTCAGTGTTGCTGTCAGTCACTTCCTAGCGATTCCTAGCTGATGCCCTGCAGATCTGCAGTGGAACAGACCCCTGCCCGAAAGTGCTAGAATTCATTTCATTCATTTTCCCACTCAGAATATACCGTGCTGTCTGTCGCTGCAGCGAGTATGCATAAAAATGCTCCCGGCTAAGTAATTCTTAATTTCTTGAAATTACTCACTGAGTAAGGTTTATTAGAGGAAAATGACCTCATTATTTATTAAGTGCTTAATCACAAATTTGAAAGAGTAGCTGGACTAAAATCAGAATTGCAATTGTGAATTATTTAATTTAACACAATAACATTTTTTCTGTTTCAGTAGTCAGTACATCTCCTTTCCCATTAAGTTTATATTTATTTCTAGTAATTGTACAGCTTTGCCCCATTTGAACTTTATTATGTCCATCTTATTTCTCCTCATATTATCTATCTTAAGTTCTGTTCCATGTTGTCCGTGAATGTATGCAGCACTAGTGCATTGGTGTACCTGGGCAACACAGTGAATTCTGATTCTGATTCTTTTACTTATAATAGACATATCTTGGAAAAAAATATTTTATTTCTAACATTTTTGGATGTTGGATTCCAGACATCATTTATCTGGGAAAAATATAATATAATATAATATAATATAATATAATATAATATAATATAATATAATATAATATAATATAATATAAACAGATACTTAACATGCTCCTGAGTGGTAATGCCCAACTTAACCAGCCCAGGAAAGGTCAGGCAATTCCGGTTATGACCTCTGACCTTTAGATGAGAAACTGTTACCATTTAGGATGTGATAGGAGGGCCCTCCTTTTCATAAAATGCATGTTTCTCCATGCCGGGAGGAGAGCAGCACACCGGTATATCATTAACTCTGCACCAAAGAAAGGAGGAGTGCAGTAAATAGGCTTGATGGGGGGGACCTTAGTGCACTCCCTGCTGGGTCCTACTTGGAGCACAATATCTCCGCCACCATGAGATTAAGCCAGAGAGAAAGTGCTTTTCACCATTCACACGCCCTTTAGATTGTTTTATTAAACCGTTTGAATAGGGATTTCCCCGTCTGCCCACAAGCGGGCTCCAGCCAATGCATAGTTTTCTGTTGCTATGACTTAACTTGGTCCCCACTAATCACCGGCGAGGGCAAATTTCATATAAAATATCTGGGGCCATTGTGGCCGTAACGCGGCGTGACAGTGTCAGCACAATGGCGGATTCATGCCCCCAGCAGGTAATGTGGATGGCTCGCCTCGCTGGGGTCCGCCAGGGAGAGATGGAGGGGAGCTTGTCAGAAACCATCACCAGTTCAGGCCCGCTGGCACATTCCTTTCTCAGGTAGGCCCGGTCCCTCCCCTAGGTGTCTGGACATCCCCCCCCCCCCCCCCCCACCGCTCTCTTCTATACCCGGATAATCTTCTTTTCCTTTCTCCTTCCCCTCTTTCTGGCCCTTTTCGGACTCGCCGTCTTTGCCGTGTCATGACCCGCACTTTATTGGCTTCCTGATAATAGAAAGCCAGCGACGGCACGGTTTCAAATCGAAGCTGAATGGCCGCTTTTCACCGCCGTC